TAGAGTTGTAGTAGATAACTCACTGAAAATGTCGAGACAGTGTGTGACTGCAATAAAGAAGGCCAATTCTATGCTGGGGATTATTAGGAAGGATATTGAAAACAGATCAGCCAATATCATAATGCCCCTATATAAATCAATGGTGCAACCTCATTTGGAATACTGTGTGCAGTTCTGGTCACCACACCTTAAAAAGGATATTATAGCTTTGGAAAAAGTGCAGAAAAGGGCAACTCAAATGATAAAAGGGTTGGAACACTTTCCCTATGAGGAAAGGTTAAAGCGCTTAGGGCTCTTTAGCTTGGAGAAACAACGACTGAGGGGTGACATGATTGAGGTTTATAAGATTATGCATGGGAAAGAGCAGGTAGAGAAAGAGGTACTTTTCTCCCTTTCTCACAATACAAGAACTCGTGGGCACTCCATGAAATTGCTGAGCGGTCGGGTTAGAACGGATAAAAGGAAGTACTTCTTCACCCAAAGAGTGATAAACACATGGAATTCACTGCCACAGGAAGTGGTGGGTGCTACAAGCATGGACGGCTTCAAAAGGGAATTAGATAAGCATATGGAGCAGAGGTCCATCAGTGGCTATTAGCCACAAGGTATAGATAGGGGCTCTGGGGCAAGTGATGCTCTGTCATCTTGGTGCTTGGGGGGGTCAACAGTGGGAGGGCTTCTAGTGTCCTGGCCCCACTGGTGGACTTCCTGATGGCACTGGTATTTCTGGCCACTGTGTGACACAGAGTGTTGGACTAGATGGGCCTATGGCCTGATCCAACATTGGCGTCTCTTATGTTCTTATGGTGAGGGGTCTGGAGACCAAGCCCTATGAGGAAAGGCTGAAGGAGCTGGGTATGTTTAGCGTGGAGAGGAGACGACTGACAGGTGATATGAGAACCATCTTCAAGTACCTGAAGGGCTGTCTATATGATGGTGCGGAGTTGTTTTCCATTGCCCCAGAAGGTCGGACCAGAACCAATGGGTTGAAATTAAATCAGAAGAGCTTTCGGCTAAACAATAGGAAGAACTTCTTGACAGTTTGGTGTAGGAGAGCCAGTTTGGTGTAGTGGTTAAGTATGTGGACTCTTATCTGGGAGAACCGGGTTTTATTCCCCACACCTCCACTTGCAGCTGCTGGATAACCTTGGGCAAGCCGTAGTTCTGTTAGAACTGTCCTTAAAAGAACAGTTCTGGAAAGAGCCATCAGCTCTCTCTGGAAAGAGCTCTCTCAGCCCCACCTACCTCCCAGGGTGTCTGTTGTGGGGAGGGGAAGTGAAAGGAATTTGTAAGCCACTCTGAGACTTAGTTTGCTCTTGAGCCATCCTTCCTGAGCTAAGGCAAGAATGTGTGAGCCGGATGCTAAACAACTGTGAGCTGGCTCACACTAACTCTAAGAGGTTTTCAAACAGAGGCTAGATGGCTACCTGTCAGCAATGCTGACTCTGTGAACTTGGGCAGATCATGAGAGGGAGGGCAGGAAGGGTTGCCTCAGTGCTTAGTTCTCAGGGCCCTTTCTTACACGCCCAGGGAAATGCTAATCAACACGTTGGGGTCAGGAAACAATTTTTTGCAGGCCAATTTGGCCAGGGAACCTGGAGGTTTTTTGCTATCATCTGGGCATGGAACTGCTGTCACTGGAGGTGCAGAGGGGGAGGTATTTGTGAATTTCCTGCATGGTGCAGGGGGTTGGACTAGATGACCCTGGAGATCCCCTCCAACTCTATGATTCTATGACTCATCACCACAAGCACCTCAGTGAACCAAGGAACATTCCAGGCTCTTCAGGAAGGAGCAGGGTACACCAGAGCAACCGTGTCCACAGCCAGGGACACCTGTGTATTCCACAAATCAGCCACAAATGCCACAGGAGTGTCAGCCTTGCTGACCAGAAAATTCCCAAGAGACATCAGGAAACCATCCGTTCCATCAGTCTCCTGAGATGGACCATCCTAGCTGCACCCCCCACCCCACCCTCATGGAGGTTCACCTGGTCGGTTCATGAAAAGGCCAGACTGGAAAATTCCCCCATACCAAGCCATGTGCTTTATTCCTAGAGAGAACCAGGTCAGACATATCCCCTGCCA